TGCTCCGTTTGTTGCTCCAGTCCACGCTGCTCAGTGAGCAGAGGACGAGGAAGCTGTTTCCTGCTCTGTTTTCCTCTGTTGCGGGCGGGCGCTGCGGGCGGGCGCTGCCGGCGGCGCTGCAAGTACCGGTACCGTCCAAATGCAGTATAGTACCATTTTAAATGCCTCAGTACCGCGGTACCATACTAGTACCGGTATATCGTGCAACACTAGGTTGGATACACTGTACATATACATGCATTACATGTGTAGCCAGTAATTCCCTCAATCTGTACTATTTGTTGGAGATTTGGACAAAGTTTCCCCTTCTCCGAGGTGTTTCTTAGGTTCCCCTGTGTGCCATTTGTAGTGAGTGTTTCCAATGTGCGAGTGAATGCACAGGTACAGACATGAGCGCGAGCCTTGCTCGAGGTGCACACCAGATGCTATGCACTGCACACACTACGCTCTTGGTCTGTGACACTACGGGCCCAACGTGTAACGCCATGCTTCTAAATCTGATCGGCACAGAATCGAGAGTGATCGGTCAGTCACTGGTCAAGGCTGATCACGTTGCAAGTCATTGTTTCATCTACGAAATCTCAGAATATAACAGTGTAAAAACAAAGACTCTCCATTTTTGATCATGTGTGACCGAGACAAACAGCAGATACTTGTCTGGAAGCCAGAATGACAGAATATATGTTTTTTTTTTCTTGATGTCTCTTTAACAATAAATTACCAGAACAGCTGGTCATTAATTTTCTGTTGCTTCAGGTGATTGATTCAGCTCAACAGTCAATGTTAGAATTGGAAACTTGATAGTTTCATACTCAGTGCTACAGAAACATTTTGGTCTGTGCCAAAAAATTCTGAGGTTCACTAACAAACCCTACTACCAAAAACACCAAACCATAAGAGCAAAGCTGTGAACATTTAATGCCATACTCTCAATGTAAAAAAACATTTCTTGGAGCAGTTACAATGTAAACATGTAAGCGACAGAACGCAAGCGATGTACATGCCTCTGCACTCACTGCTCCTCCAGGAGACAACAGGTCAGCTACGTAACACTCAGACACACTGGCAGAGATTCAGCATTTTGCTCAGGGACACTTCTGATCAACAGATGAATCAAAATGTCTGCTCAGCTTGCCAACAGTTAAACCTCCAGCCCAATTACTGACGCTGGCTGTGGGATAATAAACAATGACATCACAGCCTGTGCTGTGGGATGCGAGGATTCATCTCTGAAAAAACATGCTGATTAACCCCAGGAGAGGTGGCTGCCCACAGCCACAGAGTCCAGGTTATACCCGCACCCCTTGTTTCAGTCTTTTACTTGTGTGCTGACATTTCCCATTCACTCATAGCGGGTGGGTGATTAAAAAAAAAAACAACATATGACCACAATTTTTTTCCTTGTCCGTCTTCTAAGCCAAATTATTTCAGTGGACTGATATAAACACTGGCTCACATGAGCCGATGATTACACTGTTTATGGAACACACATGCTAGCGCTGGCTTCCCTCATTAATCCCATTAGGAGCTTTGGAGAGAAGAGCCGACTCATTCACATGCTTCTGACAGCAACCCATACGCACGCTATAGTAGCTGCCTTTTCACAAGATGGTAGCATTTTTCACCGGAAATATCAGAAAGTTGTTTATCAGCGGTCACTGTGCTTGTGTTATATTCTTTGTCATAAACACAGTGCTGAATAAAGCAGCAGTTTCTCAGTCTGTAATATTCCATTGTTGACTTGTTCTCCTTAGAGTGATGTAACAATTATTTCTCAGAAACAGAAAATGTTTTGAGGTACGACGAACGGACAGCACCTCACAGAAACTTGACAGCCTGATCAGCCTTCTAAATGTCAACAGCTGTAAAACCACTGCTTTATTGTGCGCACACAAGCTAAAACACTTTACGTGGACCTTGCATATCTGTCCTGTGCATACAGAACACACTCACCGTGTCCCTAAAGCCGTCATATTTGTAAACGTGTCCCGTGCTGGTGCCCAGTTTGATGCCATGACCTAAGCACACTCGTCTCCACTGGGCCAGGTTGAGTTCTCCAGCCGGGATGCTGTCCACCTTCCCTGTCTTGCTGCTCTTATAAACCACATTTTGCTTGCTGAAACGCAGCCGCCCATCATTCTGTAACACAAAGACAAGGGTAAGAAACAGATATAAACAAATGGGATTTAAAGCTCAAAATAAAAGTTTATTGTAAAGCTAAATAAAAAGTCAACTAACTGATTAGTAGGGATGCTAGCCCAACCAAGGGGATATAATGTATAGGCCTGGTGGGTTCGGGGTCTTTCATCTTACATCTGCCTGCGTGCAGTTTGGAGGTGCAAGATACCTGAGCGTGTAATGTTAATTTTACCTGTGATCCTTTGAATAAATCAGCACTGTTTTGAAGTTACTTGGACTGTCTCGTCTCTCTCTCAGTTAGCAATGGTAACAAGAACCAAAGACCAACAGTGTGAAAAGCAAAAATTTGCTCAACACTTCCCCCTCTGGTTAAGAGGGAATATCCCCCTCAACGGTGACTGCCCCATAATAGTACACAATAAAAAAACATATCATCCTTGTGTTGATATTGGTGATATGGTGGATTGGTGGTATTACTTGGAATTGGATCAAACTAAATCTGATGTATTAACCACTCATATGTTTTAAAATGATATCAGTATCAGTAATTACAGTATTCTGAACTGCTTTCCTGGTGTACGGGGTAATGTTAGGGAGCAGAGGTGGGTGATGGGGATACTGACCCAGGAACCTTTAACCTCCTGGTAAATATCGTTGAACTCCAGTGTGTCTCCCATCTCAGCTACAGGTGATGACTGATGCTCTACAGACAGACAGAAGAAAATACGCTTAAGATGATCAAACATCCAGTGTGTGTCTGGTGCTTCAAGTTTACATTTATCATTAAAACTGTGACCTTACCTGCAAAAACACAATGCAGTGCACTTTAAACAATAACTTACCTACTTTCACACACACCTCTCACTGTTTTTTCTGTTAGTCAATGATCTTTATCAAGACCAGTTAGCTTAGCTATTAGTTGTGTTTCATTTGCAACTTAATGAGCAAACGACAGGAGTCAATGACTGGCAAATCTTACATTGTGGATTAATTAAGGCGAAATGCAGAGCTCTCCAGTTTATTTAGGGTCAAATCACGAAACCAGGAGTCGGAATTAAATCGTGACAGTGCCAAAGATGCCCGCCCCAGGTAAAGTTAAATGCTGTCTGATGTTGGTGCAAACATCATGGTCAGACCCGCAGTGACTGGGCCAAACAGATTCAGACTACAGAAAGACAGACAAACAAACGTGCCATCCTATAATGTTGTAAAAACTAAATGCACATTAAACGTTTTCTCTTAACTCTCGGTGATGTCCACATTTATGATTGACCCTGATGTTACTCACTGCACTCAGTTTACAAAGCACAGAGTAGAGTTGTGAGCTAAGCTAGCAGTTAGCCAACAGTTCCCGTTAGCAGTACAACCCACAGAACCAAGTTTAACGAATATTTCAACCGTTATTTTCTTCTGGTATAAAAGCGCTAATGGAGATTAACTTTAGGTCCCCTTGTTTCTTAACAGAAAAGACAATTAACGATAATATCCATGCTAACATTACGCCACTATCCATTGCTAGGCTAATTTGAACTGCAGAGAGTTTCTTTTATGACATTTGACTGCACTGAGTCCGACAGTTCTCAATTTAACACAATATCAGAAGACACGCGTCGCCCCGTAGAGACTCAGCATGCATCAAATCGAGCGCTCCTACAGAGATAGCCCGGTGCAAACTGAAGTGATGTTCCGAGTTGATTTCACAAACAAAATACCTCAACATTAAGTACATAAGCGATGTATACTCCCTTCTTACTTACAACTACTCCCAAATAAATTCCTAAATAAGAGATAGCAGCAATTAGCAAACGTTGTGTCTTACTGCAAAAGTGATATACAGCTTCACCTGTTTCCCGCGTGTAGCACCGGGAGCTAGCCTTACGTCATAGGAAAAAGGCTGAGGATGTTTGTATTCACTTCCGGTTTGGCGAAAAGTTTTTATTTTAAACACTAAAACCTTTGATAGAAATAAAACACACACTCCGTTTACACAATAATCACTATGTAATAGTGGTTAAACTATCGAGCTGCTCATACTAACCCGTTTGAAAACAGAGTTGTTACTGAGTCTGCGCGGGCCAGAGCAGACTGCAGTTACCACTCATCACCACTGAGTGGCACACAACACATCCGATGACAAAGCTCATAATACTCTAAGAAAAAAGTGTAGAACACAAAGTGCAGCAGCACGAGTGAGCTCTAGTTTGGTCATAAAAGCTATGGCTATAGCTTATATGAATAGATGGATATGCCATTATTTACTAAGTCACAGTCTAAATAGCCTACTTATAAAACCTCCCGAAACAAAGCAGACATACTGTTACTGTGGGGATGGTCTGGATCAAATAAAACTCATAGAATATCATGGCAGGTCAACTTGCTAGAGAGCTTTGGGATAAAACTAAACAATTTGGCCAATTTGTTTCCCCTACTCTCTGTGTAGTGTGTACAGTTTTCCCCTTACTTGGTCCTGGATCCACTGTTCTATTTGATTACACACACACAAATAAGACAATGCAACATCTAGGCAAATAACTAAAATAACTGTCTTTATAGCAAATTTAGTTTCACTGTAAAACGGGGCTTAAATAAATCAGGCCACATTTTAAAGGCTTATAGTGATGCGTATTCCAAAGCAAATTTTCAATTAAATACGACTTGACCCACATTGATGCAAAAGCTTTTGGGGGGCCCTGGTGTTTTACCCAGTTGTTGATCCAGCCTTGAGGATACACACGATAAGACCACTTGATCCATTCTGATTTTGAGCCTCAGAGACTTTGCATATCTGATTGATTACTGGGGAATTTTAGCGAGAGGACCAGACAAAACGGCAAGGAATGAAAGTGAGTATCGTTTTAATTTAGACAACAGCATCGACCGTGAGGGCTGCTGTTTGTATGCTGAATGACAGCTGGAGGAGCGAGAAGATCACCACAATCACATAAAAACTAGGAAAGAAAGAAGAAGAAGAAGCAGGCAGGCCTTTGTCTTCACACCTTTCTGACAAATAGACAAAAAGAAAATAAAAGGACAGGAAAATAAAACACTGATCTGTGCCATAACTTTATCGTAGTTTATGAGAGGCTTTTAAATTCTAAGGCCCACATTCCTGTCGACAGTTTCACATTATGGGCTACTCAGTGAAATCCTATCTGGCTTTTTAGTCGTTTACTTGAACTTTAAGTGACATTATTGCGCTTTTTAAAAGCTATAAAAGATATGTAATGTCAATAAATTATTTTAGGGTAATCCGGGCCTTCTCTAATAGTTAGAAGGCGAGAAAATGTTAACAGAATAGTTTTACTTAGCAAAAGGCCCATGAATAAAGTAGACTATTAATGGGGAATTTTACGAAAGCAATATAAAAAAAAAGAAATGTCAGAGAACATTAGTCATTTTCAGAGAGATATGAAGACAGAAGAAGAACATGATCCCTGGTTGATCTGAGGGTGGCAGGGTTGCCGGGTCCTCCTGGTCTGCGCTGAACTGATCCGGCCGGACTCGTATTTAATTAAAGGGAGAAGCGGATTAGAGATCAAACGACGGCAGTCAGAGTGAGTTCAGGGGGAAGACTAGCGGAGAGAGACAGGAATGAGTTGCCACAAGTCCCGTGGTTCAGCGGCTCCGTCAGGTTGAACTGTGATGCGTCAACCCGGTGAATCACCGGCACCGAGGAGGAGGATAACGACAGAAGGAAAGACGGGGATGGGAAGGAGGGGAGGAAAGGGAGACAAGGGTAGGAAAGGAGGCGGAGGAGGTACAAAAAGGCTCCGCCGTCATTCAGTCTGTCACACGGACCACACGCACTAAGTCAGTCAATAATAAGGATTCATCCTCCTCTCAGATGTAATTTTTTTTTATTATAACCGATACCTCTGTTCGTAGGATTAAATCGACATCACCTGCTCCGTTTTTCCCTTCATCGTCTCCGGAGATGTGTGAGAGAGGATATAACATTTAATTGAGGCGACACATGATGAAAAGTTAGCGATTGTTTTAGGAAGCGAACTAAAGAAGGCATTATTATCGGTTTATTTCAGCTGATACATCTGCAGTGGAGGAACCGAGAGCGCGCTGCTGAACAAAAAAAAGGATGTGGAGAAAATGAAAAGGTTTTGCGGAGGTAAGTCCATGGATCCAAGGCGTTTTATGGAAGTTTTGAAAAACTGGAAACACGTTTCTGTCATCAGGCAACACAACAGCCTCCCTGTCCTGTTATTTAGTCGCGCTGTTCCTGGCTTCTCTTCGTCCATTTGGAGATTTGTTGTCAATTTCATGTTTTAAGTTGTGAAAAAGTGCAGAGTTGGGCTACAGAACATTTCGGTGCGTTTTCTTGTTTTGTTTTTTATTTTCTAAATATTTTCAGGGTTAAACGGCACAGCTTAAACTAAATCATTTATTTACGAACACAAATTATAAATTCCACTTAAATCTTTTTTTGCAAACCTGGAAAGAAATTAGCCAAATTCAAATGTTTTATGTTATTATGTATTGGTGTTTTTAAACATTCAAAATTAGTTGAAAAGGGGTTGTAGACTAAATCATTTCTTCACTTTAGAAAATTAGAGAATTAATCATAAAGGAATTTGATGGGACATCATTAAACCTTGGAGGTAAAAAAAAAATATGAGAAACAGAAAAGAATATAAAAATATGAATGGAGCAAAGAAACCAGCTCAACACAGATTAATTTTGTTTACTTTTATTTTTAGATTAGCCAAGAAATGTGTGGGCAAAGTGAGAGGAATGGGGGGGGGGGGTCTTGTTCACCTTAAAAAATGACACAGGGTTGAAGGGGTCAGAGGCAGCTAAAGCCCTTGTCTAGTTAGCTGTCACTGATATGAGAAAGTACATGATTCAGTTTAGTCAGGGTGTGAGAAGACGCACACGCACACATGCACACACACACATACACACAGTTTTTTTCCCACTGGGACGACTGGTGCGGCTGCTTCTCCGTGTCAGTGAAAGGAGGAAAAAGAAGGTGAAAGAAAGAGGAAAAGACAGTTATGACTGTGTGATGAAAGGATGCGCCCAACAAAAGTTCAGCCTCCTCTCTTTCGCCATCTCTTTGCTTCTCTTCCTTTAGTCACCCTCCTTCATTCTCTTGTCCCAAGGTGGTCACATAACTTGTCAGCAAATTAGTGTAACTTTAGAAGTTCAATAACTAGCAAGCTGAACAAACTGCTGCTCCCTCTGATACTCAGTTCAAATAAATACACAGAAAGCTCAACTGCTGAAGAACATGCTGCCTTTGACCCACACATACAAACACACACATGTCCATGCAGACACGTACGTCCTCCAGGTAGTCACAGATACAATCTTGAAAACATAGAGACAACCATACTTTTCTGATTATTACTAATCTAAAATACTCATAACCTTTCTCTCTGTTTGTTTCTTTTGCACACACACACACACACACGAGGCCTATTACTGCCAGGAGGATTGAAATAGTTTCAGATAAAAGCGATAGTGTGTGTTGGACCAGTGAGCTCAAACACACTAGAAAACAAAGGAACAATGAAAAGAGAGAGATGGGGGGGACGTGGAAACAAAGAGGACAGCGTTAATCTTTCACATCCTTTGATTCGCTCGGCACCATCCTCATTTTTTATGGTATGTAGGGATGTACATGCAGAGGATGTGTGGAGGGGGAAGGCTGTGTGTGTGCTGGGGATGAGAGAGAGTAAAGAGAGGTAGAGATAGATAAAAGTAAACAGAGAGGAGAAAGAGAGAGGCAGAGAGGAACTGGCGGGAGAGGGGTTAATGCAGTGCAGATTCCCGATTGACCAGTTAGCAGCACCCAGAGTGAAAGAGAGGAGAGAGAAGGGGGGAATGATATAAAATGAGTCGGTCACGCTTTGAACAGTTACACATGCTGTTTACATTTTTCCCAAATTAACATGGCCCCTCGCTTCAGAAAAGTCCCCCTCGCTCTCTCTCTCTCCACTCCACCAGCTCCTTTTCCCTCCTTCGTCTCAAATCCACTTTTCCTCCTCCTCCTGCAGCAGCTCTGTCCTTCAACATCTCAAAATATCAGACTGTCAGATCCACGTTCAGACCCCACAATTACCACAATGTAAAACACTCAGTTAAAACTTCTGCATTCAAACTTGGGGAAAAGAAAACAATATTATATGTTAAATGCTTCCAAATTAAAAGTTCTTCTCATGCAGGGACAATGTTGTAGCAGATACTTTAGCAGATACTTCAATTTACTATAAAATAATGAACTGTAAAAGCACATTAGAGTTATAAATTCTTCATCTGTAGCTAGAAACTAAAGTTGCAAAATAAATGTACTCAAGCAAAAGTTTCAATCTTTACCTCTGAAGAGCTCAAATAAAGTGCTTTTGAAATATTCAAATCTATAAGACGATAGACCTTTATTGTCACTGTGCAAGGAAAATTTGGTCAGAGCTTCATTAGTGTCATTTTAAAATAGATAAAACATGAATAATATATAACAACAAAAGGTAGTTTACCCAACCCAAAAACCAGAGATGACAAGGACACTGTACTGAACTTTAAGAGTAGAAAACAGAGAGAGTCAAAACAAGTCAAAGATATTAAAGATATCCTGCCATTACAGTAATAACACTAATGCACAAAATGGACTAACACATATCCCAAAAAGAAATGACTAAATTAAAAGACAATATATCAATATAATGAATTAATGAATAAATAAAAGCCTAAGTGATGCATCTAAAATAGCAGGACCAGTAAAGGCTGTGAAAATGAGATAAATCATTTAATTGGGCCAAGTAGAATGAAACAAAACTTTATGCCATAGCAGATGTTTTCACTATCAATTAATGTGACAATTATTTTCTCAACTAATCAATCAGTACTAACCCTAACCCTAACCCTAACCCAATGTAAGAAAATAGGGAAAAATAACAGCTTTTCAAAATCATAATTTCCTAAAACCTAAGGTGATCATTTCAAATTGCGTGTTCTGGTGACCAACAGT